GTTGTGTTCTTCATAATATAGAAGTTGACATCCATATATTCTCTTCCTTATATAAGATGACTTGTAAATTCCTTTTGGTGTTGGCCATTTATATCTTAAGAAGAATCACATATTCTAAGTCTGGTCATTGTCTTTGTTTATGGAGTATGGCCTTAACAAGGCAAGTATAGGTGAGGTGAAATGGGGTTTGACGTCGCGTCCAAGATTATTGCACTTATATAGCGACGTGCATGTACGTGTGTGTGTTTGTGTGGCTGCTTGTACTAGTCCGAACTGATGCCGGTTTATAGTGCTAGCTCACTGAGGTACCATGTCGCAGTTTAACATGAATATTCCACTCAGACACAGTTTACTGACTCCGAGCCAACCAGTCCTTGTTTTAGCCCCTTAATGCCGAGCGCCAGAGAGGGTAAGGCAAGTGTAGTGGTTTAGTGTTTTGTACGAGATTTTCTTCCTTTGTACATATACACCATATCACATGCAACAGCCCTTAGGCTATTCCCATGACACTAACAGCGTCTGGTAAAAGTTTCCTTTCTGTACTGAATGCTACCTTACAGAAAAAAATGTCATGAATTGTGTTGAATTAGCCCAGTTTTTATGTTATTCTCATAAACTTTTAGTAAAAAACTACATTTAAGAATGTATAGAAAAGAAAGGTTATGCAAAAAGTGTGAATTTAGAAGAATGGAAGATAAGTATCATTTTCATCTCATTTGTCCTAAATATGATGCTGTAAGTTAGACGTTTTCTTTTATATGACTACAGTTCTGTCAGTGCCATGACCGATTAGCTGTAGTCATGAAAAGATTGGGTGTTCTTTAACTTCTTTTGAGTAGTATATATATCAAGCAGGTCTTTAAACAAACCAAACATGTTAATTCATTACATTAAATGTCCACAAAGATTTGTTTTGTTGGAATTGTCACGACATCCTAACAGGATGACTGATGTCCTGCCGTGGCTGCTTTTTACCTATGTCTAAGTTTACGTTTTTATGGCTTTTTAAAAAATGCAAAATGGAAGTTTATGTATTAACCTTGACACCTATCAGACATTCCTGTTTTTATGACCTTTCAAGCAATGTTTAACTCAAGCTTGTTGGCTCATTTACATCACTTGACCCTTGACAAAATGTGCAGCAAACAAGGTTAATACTCCTGCCTGGTGATGAGAGGATGTACATGTTTCGGTTTATTGTATACTCCTTCACCATCCATCCAGTAGCCTCTGGGTTCAGCAAGGAGTCAAATTGATGTTTTTCTTCGTAAGTCCTTGCATATTTCTCTGGCCTGATACAAGCGATATGGGAATGTTTGTTTGGTAAGTGAAGGCCGACATAACTCCAATGTAGCCTCTGCTCCTGTTCATCTGATTGCTTCTGATAGGCAGCCTTTTTGTGCACACGTGGACACAATGGGTGTCGTGTTACAATCTGCCCTGGAACCCCCCACCCCGCAACCCCCACCCCCCATCCATGTACTGTGACTGGTATGCAAGTGAAGATCCATGTCCTGTCAGTCTGCCTTGATGAGGCATGGAGTCAAAGTTAAACTGCTAAGATAAGGATAAATGCTTGGGGTGTGATCAGGTGCTCCTTTGCTGAAGACTACAGAACAGAAAAAAGATTTTCTAAGTGGTAAAAAGCCACTTTGTTGCTCCAAAGTGTTTAAACTGTAGGTGTGTTTGCCAGGAACAGTGATACACATGAACTTGGGTAGCTCAGGTGGCCAAGTAAGGCATGCTATAAACGTGTGATCAAGGGTTTGAATCCCAGATTCGCCCTGATTATGTTTCTAAGTTTGTCAGCACCATAGTTAACTTTTGGGTTTCACCAAAGACTTGCATCATTATCAGTTGTGCTTTCCTCCCACATCAAGCTGACATGCCGTAATAAAGACTAAAATACTGTTCAAGCTGTGTTAAACCTCACTCACTCACTCACTCACTCACTCACTCACTCACTCACTCACCACATGGCTGGTTTATTTGTTTGTTGTTTAACGCCACCCTCAGCGATATTCCAGCTATATGATGGCGGTCTGTAAATAATTGAGTCTGGACCAGACAATCCAGTGATTGACATCATGAGCATCGATCCATGCATCAACCAAATCAGCAAGCCTGACCAAGCCTCTTACGACAAGCATAGTCGCCTTTTACGGCAAGCATGGGTTGCTAAAGAATTATTCTACCCGAATCTTCACGGGTATATGGCTGGTACTCATATTTGTTCCTATCATTAAATGAACAAGTATATAAAGATAATTTCAAACTGTCCACTTGAAAGTAACATTTACATCATTTCACTCAAGGAGATTTTTCTCATGTTTAGGAATATGTCTGGACCAGACAACCTGGGGTTTTGCATTAACATCGAGTGCAGTCAGAGGGGAGCAGTGGGGTAGCCTAGTGGTTAAAACGTTTACTTGTGACGCCGAAGACCAGGGTTCAAATCCGCCACAAGGGTACAATGTGTGAAATCCAATTCTGGTGTCACCCAGTATTGCAGCACCATTGCTTAGAGATGCATAAGACCATACTCACTCACTCACTCACTCACTCACTCACTCACTCACTCACTCACTCACAGAGTACGACCAAGTATCGGATCACCTGATCCCCACTTTGTTGGCTCTTACTACAACTGTGAGGTACTGGGGACTCAACTTTAAGATATCCTGTAACCTAAAGCCAACAAAAAACTGAACAAGTTTGTTATGCTCAATCCTTTGATGTATATTTTCATCAATGGGATACTTTACAGAGCCAACTCTAATCTAAACAGAATCACAGCACATGTCCTGTTCTGTTATTTTGAAACAAGCAAAAAAGATTCAAGTAGGTACATGGGCACAAGGATATTCTTAAAATAAGATCTCTTTATAATTGCCTGAGGTGAAAAGATCAAGGAAATAATGGTGTGAGGAAAGCATGAAGACATTACTTCTCAGCCCCTGCAGTTGGATGACATGCTTCATCAGATTTATAGTGTATCATGTCATTGGGAACAGGAGTCTGCATATTGTGTGTGTGTGCTTGTACATCTCACGCTGCAGTTCCCACAGTGCTGATGTGGTGCTGTGGTATCAACAAAGACATGAATTAATACACCTATTTGCAGAATATTGGTTCACGGTTAGGGCACATCTGGTTAATGAGAAGCATGTCCTTAGAGAATGCCATGCCAGAGGATGCAGTTCTCAAAAGCTTATCTGAAAGTGTTATTGATGGGCACCCATCTGGGAAGTGGGAGAACTGCTGATAGTGCTCAAATAATTCCAATTTCAAAATGACAAGATTTTATGCAAACTGCATCTGCATTAACATGATGCTGTCTCATACACTACTCAAAAGAAGTTAGGGAATACTCGATTTATTTTCATATTACTATAGTTCATTTGCATGGCATGACAGATTAGCTTTAGTAATATGAATTTATGAATTGGGTGGTCCTTAACTTCTTAGTAGGAAACATACTGAACAAAAAATGTTAGGTACCATGAATATTTTTGGGGAATATTTTTTTGGCAGCGAAGACTGAGTTTCTTTGAATGTGTATGGTACACAAAAACAGTTCATGATCCTTAGCTTTTTTTGTTCAGTATATATCTGGCACACATAAAACAATAACATTACAATTGGGATTGTTGTCAAATGGGTTTGTTCATTATGCCTGTATTTGAGGGAAGAATGTGCAGGTTGATCCTTGGTTTCAGATCACATGGTCCTTAATGTAACCTACCCTGTCAGTCCCACATTCATTTAAAGACTTACATTAGCTGCACTCTAAGATCACTCTCAGGTATGGCTTCGAGATCCCTCACTGGTTCGATCATTAGCTGTTGTTGTTTGATAACTTGAATAAACGTTGCGGCCTACTGCAAAATTTTGTTGATGGATTTGATTTCATTGAGATGAAACAGTAAGTGCTGACAATGTGTGGGCATTCCAGGTTTGAATTGGTCCACAGCAACCTGTGCTTCCCATAAGATGCAAGGGGCGGTCAGGTAGCCTAGTGGTTAAAGCGTTCGCTTGTCATGCCAAGGATCCGGGATTGATTCCTGACATGGGTACAATGTGTGAAGCCCATTTCTGGTGTCCCCTGCCGTGATATTGCTGGAATATTGCTAAAAGCGGCGTAAAACCAAACTCACTCACTCACTCACTCACTCACTCACTCACTCACTCACTCACTCACTCACTCACTCACTCACTCACTCACTCACTCACTCACTCACTCACTCACTCGCTCACTCACTCATAAGATGCAACTCATAAGATGCAACTCAGGTGGTCAGGCATGGTAACTTGGTTGATTGCATGTCATTGTGCCCCGATGGTTTGTGATGGTTGCTCATGGTATCACTGACTAGTTTAGTCCAGACTTGATTATTTACAGGCCACAGTCAAATAGCTGGAATAATGAATGCAACAGTAAACAACAAACAGAACAAGGAAAAAAGTAAGTGTTGGTTATTTTGTTGAATGTTGCAAGCTGCCTATGACAATCTGAACTTGTCATGATGGTTGACATCTAAACATGATGAATATTAAGACATTATACACAATGTTATCCACCACTGCACCAGACCCAGATATCGTGATTCGTTTCTCGACTCTGTTTCCTCTGCAGTCTGAGCGTTTCCCACAGCATTCATCACACACAACATTTGTTCAATTTCCTATTTTGACACCCTGGAGTGTTTCTATCAATACCATCTCTGACAGTTTCATAATTCAGCACATATACATTCTCATATATTTGAATGGGTAACCTCAAGATAGTAATGTCTTTTCAATCAATATGTGCCCCTGGTAGATGGGTTTTGCCTTGGGTGTTGCATTGGCATCTCCATGCTTTATACTTCACACACGACACATTAATACTGATGCACATAATATCCGATCTATATACAATTTTCAGATGTAATACCATCAAGTACAGCGGTATTAGTTGATAATTCAATGTACTAATTGATCTGCAGATGAAGGTGAGTTGGGACGTATCCTTGGTACAATTCTCCCTCCTACTGATTGAACTGGAGTCGCTTATCTCCCTCTACTTGAGACATCTTCAACATAGAGGGCGCTGTAGAGCCAGTTTCCTTCAAGCTATCTTGGAATCGCCATTACACTATCTCAAGAATCTCAAGTGCAATATTGTATGTTGATTGCTTCTTGTACTGCTGGATCAATTCTTCACATTTTAATTAACACTTGTAAGTAATTTCGTGATGCACGATGTTGTGAAGTGTGTTTCACTTTATGGAAGAGTAACTGAAAATCACAAACAAATCTTATTTAAGAAGCAGTGGGTGATCATTATTTTGCTGAAATATTGTAATATTAAACTTATTTTTAATTTTTTTTCCCTTAATTTTGAAAATGTTCTGCAGTAGTTTAAAACAATTTTAATGTATATAAAACATAAAATATCCATCCTTCTGATTTCAATGGATGGGACAATACTTTTCAGAAACTTCTATGAATACAAGGATGAACTATGGCATACATCATTTTGAGATATATATCTTGATCCAAGCATTGCAAAGTTGTATTGGACAGATTGATCTTTTGGACATTTTGCACAGGAGCCCCCAATTCTTTTCAGAAGCCACCATGGATACAAGGATGACAAGTGCATATCTTAAGGGATTTTGCATGCATTATAAAAGTTTTACATGAGTTGAAGCATATCAAACATAACGTAGCATGACACCTAGTCTCTGGAATCAAAATATTTTACTGACAAAAAACCATGAGATTATTTCAAGAAATATAATAGAAAGAAGCCCATTGTCTGCATCACTTTCCTCCCACATTAACCTGACATGCCTAATATAACTGGAATACTGTTAAAAGCGGCGTTAAACCCAACTCACTCACTCACTCACTCACTCACTGTTTATTATCATTACCATACCCATGTTTGATGGTTTCACGTGGTAAACATCTCAGACCTGCATCAATTCAGGTTTGTCTTCGACATGAAAGTGACAAGCTGTGATATAATGACATACTGTTAAAACCCCAAATATCTGTTCCATGGAGGAAACTGGCCACCCTGATTGTATCGCCTTTCCTCAGAACATGAAGGAACATAATGGCAGTGCATATCAAATTAAGCTGTAGAAATACTTTTCCAAGTAGGTGATACTTGCTGTAATTTGATGCACAGTTGTTTATGGTCCAAAAAATACCTTTTTCCATCATGTTAAAAAGGCAGTTTTCTGTTTGTACAGAGCTCCAGGAACTAATTGCTTCACATGTAAGTAAAAAATGGACCCCAATCGGGGATTTATGTATCTCTTCATGTGTGTTAGCTAAAAGATTGGGTAAAACCACCAAGGTTATCACCAAATGCTCTGCTAAGGAGAAGAATATTCTAATTAGCATGTTGATGTCAAGGATAATTCTAGGTTGTGTAAAGCAGCCTTGATTATTCATTATGGGAATATGATTTAACATCAACTTTGCATGTACATTTTCTTTATGCAGGCATTAGCTTATTGCTAGTTTCTTTGCGCATGTCTGTCATTAATTATTTCAAACTGAATATCCTTTTTTATCTTTCCTTATAGTACAGATGTCTTTAAAATTTATGCAGAAAACTTAAAATTTCTTGCCAAACTACACTACATGAAACCCCATCATGAGTAAATGTTTTATAGCTTGTAAATATGATGATCACCATGCCTCGTGGTGCTAATGCATGGCGTCTATGTGTAAACGTTTGTTTGAAGACATCGCTGGGAAGACTTTCCATGTTGTAAGGGAGGTCTGAGGAAGCTATAAGTAACAGATCATTTCCCCCTTCAGATACTGGGAGGTCATAAACACACACTTCCAGCTATGGATAAGCTGGGCTACATCAAAGAGGGGACATGGATCGCTGGATAGCTCCTTGCTGCATTTCATTAAGATCTGCATGTGCCAATAAAGACCTTCCCCTTCCGATCAAACAGGAGAACACCTATAATAAGTTCAAGAGTCTCTGAAACCAATTCCATTCCCGAAAGAATTTTGATTTTCTTGTTTGAATCTAATAATTGAAAATGTTTGTGTGTTATTATCCAGTTGAAAATTTGCCAAATTTCATGAAAGTTTATCAACTCCTAAGCCAACATGAAAGCCCTGAAAATGTGTGATACTTGCCTAGAAAACTGTTATCCAGCAATGGTATTGAATACATGTTCAGAAAGACACTGCAATTAGACCATGCCCTTGTCATGTTTTACGGCTTACGGTGTTGGTTTTACTACGTCCCGACAGCGAACTTCATGCTGCATTCCCAGTAATGACCAATGGTCGTGCCACGTGGCTGTAATGACCAACGCATGGCTCCAGTCTCTATCCTGAGACTTCAGTGATGGTTCCAATTTGACCAGGGGATATTTACTATTATAACCTCTCCAGTGGGATAAGCAGGTATTCCAGGAATGAAAATGGCCTGTGGTGTCCTGAGGCTCCGGCAGCAGGTTCCATGTTTACACACATTCCCATCATCGGGGACTAATTTGACTTGTAGACCTCAGGTCTAGTTGCCCTTACAGTTGGGTCCAAACAATGGCATGGATATTGACCTTATTTTGAGGGGGCGGTCGGGTAGCCTGGTGGTTAAAGCTTTCGCTTATCATGCCGAAGACCCGGTTCGATTCCCGACATGGGTACAATGTGTGAAGCCAATTTCTGGTGTCCCCCGCTGTGATAGTGCTGGAATATTGCTAAAAGCGGTGTAGAATCATACTGCACTCACTCACTTATTTTGAGGCTTGTTTCATTTATTATGGACAAAGATTTTTAGAAAAGTACCATGTGATTTTATGTTCTCTCAGTTGTGTTGTTACTGTTATTTTGAAGTAAGAGAGGTGTATATTTGCTTTACATGAATATTGTTAATAAAATAATTTTGCAATTCATCAAAATTGAACTCAAGTTTTAATTTGTAAATTGATTGCTCTATGACTTAAACTTTATTTGTATATTGAAGTAGGAAGATGCTCTTTTATGCATACACTAGCACTTCCAGAAGAAAGAAATGTTATTATATTTACTGTTTTGGTCTCCTGCCTCGAGGTATTTTTGGGGTAAAAACAGAAATTAATTTGGTTTGGCCATATCAAACTGTAATTGACTTGTGCAGTATGTGGAAGTTAGAGAAGTGTTTACCCTATTGGAAAAGTATCATGCCAACATAGATGTAATGGAGAAATCATGGGAATTGGTTGATTACGGGAGTAGAATTATCGAGCCCTGAAGTGGCGAGTTGATTCAACTTCCGGATGAACAGATTCTAGTTATTTCTCTGACTTAAACCATGGGATGGTTGATATATTATTTCTCTATAATTTTGGAGAATGACCAAAAGTTGTATAAGGCCAGTATGAATGGCCAATGAAGTCCTGTGTTCGAATCAGCTGTAACAACAATAGCATTATGACCTCGTAATGGTTTAAATCTGGAGATCTATGTGTATGTCAGGGACTTGGGTGCCATGGGGTAGTATGTCAAAAGGTCTTTGCATGTCTGGAATTAGTGAGTTGGGTATTACATCTCTTTTGGCAACATTCCAGCAATATCACAGTTGGAGACACCAGAAATGGGACACTAATTAATTAATGTTTGTTTGTTTGTTGTTTACCGCAGCACTCAGCAATATTCCAGCTATATGACGGCGGTCTGTAAATAATCCAGTCTGGACCAGACAATCCAGTGATTAACATCATGAGCATCAATCCACGCAATTGGGATCAATGACATGTATCAACCAAGTCAGCAAGCCTGACCACCCAATCCCGTTAGTCGGCTCTTACGACAAGTATAGTCTACCCCGGATCTTCACGGGTCGAACTTATTAATGAAATAGGGTAATACTGACTGGGAGAAACAGGCTAGAAATGCTGCAAGCATTCTCTTACTATGAGTCTTGATTGCAACAACTTTTGCATGCTCGATGTCCTTCACATTTCCATTGATGATAGAAAGGTGAACATTTTCTGTAAAAAAGATAACTGCATTTGTTTTCATTGTCTATAGGAGAATGATAAACCTCTCAAAACCAACAGACAAAGCCATCTAAAAATATACACTGACATTTTGTTGAGAGAACCCTATCAATTGAGGAGAGAAAAAACACCCACAAAAACACACCCTGGCAAACTTCTAACCACTCCACATTCTTACATTAAATGAGATCAGGCTAATTTGATATGCAGCGACCCGATTACCGCAGTGATAAGGCTTCTGTTAACATTGCAGTGTACAAACGGAAGCTAGACATCTCACAGTTAGCCAAAAACACCTCCAGAGATTTTCACTTGAATTACGCCAGTGTCTCTATTACGCACTTCACATGCTTTTTGCTGTTTTCATCTTCAATTACACTGCTTTGTGAGGAGAAAGGCAAGGCAAGCACCGTAGGTCTGTCTGGCAGACTCGGCAGACTCAGCCCGGGGCTACATCATCATATGATGTTGCCAGAATGTGGTTGGGAGTTTGCTTTGTAATGTTATCATGGGAAAATAATGCTGTAACAATATGGAAACTTATTTGATATTTTCTTAGTAGCTGTTCACAAAATACATTGGCATTAATGTCATTTTGTATTTGCTTTCAGGGTACGGAAGACCTGATCTGTATTTCAAGGTTCTGTTGAAGTATATTCTTAATCTTTGATGACTGTTTTCTTATGTATATGAGCGGCACCCTTTGAGGAGATTCAATTTGAGATATTCTATGTACAAATCATGTCTATTCATTTTGGATGTAACCGTATGTTCTTTTAAAGCACCATTTGGCCATCAGGCACAGATTGTGGTGTCTGGAAACTAAATCGTTTTGACAGTCATTCAATATTCAGGTTGATTATGACTATGGGCAAGTGTCAGTGTTGTTTTAAGCTGTGATATTACAGCTATATCTGACCGCCCGTGTGTCACTGACCCTGGATCAGAGGAAGTAGTGGTTGTTAGCATAAGCATTGATCCATGTCGTGGCAGGAGGGCCAGGGATACCCAGCTTATCTGCAGGTCACACATTGTGACGACCTGATTCCTGTGATTGTTTCCTCAGCAAGGATCACAGCATCTTGGGAATCTGTTCTCCCTGCTCATGGTTGTTCCAGATATGATGTTGATGTGGCTGTGATGTGGCTGTTGTAAAACAACCTTCATTTCCACAGATTGTTTGGTCCAGACTCGATTATTTACAGACCGCCGTCATATAGCTGGAATATTGCTGAGTGCGGCGTTAAACAAAAAAAAACAAATCAGATGTATCAAACTGTGTACAGATATATGTGGTTGTTGTTGAATCATAACAATACTACATTCAACCACAGGATCTTTAAGCGAAATTCATCCATATTCATTGTCCGAACCAGTCTTTTAGGCTGAGGGGTGGTTTGCACGATGCCTACGCACGATGCCTACGCATGACTCTCACTAAAATGTTCTGTGATTCAACTTGGGTTAAAAATTACTTTCAGTAGTAATCATATGGATAAAATGACAACCAGTTCATGACATTCAGAGTGAGTGAGTTGGGTTTAACACTGCTTGTAACAGTATTCCAGTTATATCGCGGCATGTCAGCTCAATGTGAGAGGAAAGCCCGAAGTGATGCAGGTCTCAAATTTTTAAATTACCACTTCAGTGAAACCCACGAGCACGGGTATGGTGCTGACAAACCTAGAAACATAATCGGGGCGAACCAGGATTCGAACCCACAATCAAAGGTTTCTGGCGTGCACAAGGGACGCAACTCTGCACAGCGAATTGATGACATTCAGAGAAAATGTCTTGTATGTAGTCTTGTTTTTCAAATCCCTAACTGGATCAAGGCAGGTCACACAAAACATTTTGATGTTCACTCCCCCAACCACCTGGGACCACATCTCCCAGGTGCCACACCTTCTCCCCTACCCCTCAGCTATTTGCAGGTGAGGGCTACTTTGTACATGACCTTCAGCTAAACACTGCCCCCTTTGATGTCAGGCCATCCTCTTCTCCACAGTGATGTGTAAGTGGTAGGTAAGATGTATGGCATGTTGGTCATGCCGTCAGAATGGAGAAAAACTGGAGTGTGTAAAGCCTTGTAACTGCTTGTTTCTGACAGCTGATATGTCTCTTGCTCTTTTAATGACTTCTTTATACATGGTTTGATACTGAACAGTAAACACAGTGTCTGAAGCAGGCATCAATAACATGATGTTGGAGATCATTTGGTTGTTCAAGCAGCATCCACTGACCATGTCTCAGGCATCACAAG